TGAAACTCAACTCGATTCTAGGATAAGCAATAGAATTTGGAAAACAACGGATCTAGGACCAAACAAAATTGTTTCTCAACTTATTTCTTTTTATCTAGTTGAAGGAAACTGTGAGAATTATGTTCGGAATATTCCCATTATTCTTTAAGTAGAAGATGATCCTAAAACTTACAAGGAAGTAATGGTTTCAAGAGACTCTTCCTTTTAGAAGGATGTTATCCAAGATGAAATGGATTCAATCACATCAAATCACACTTGGGAACTTGTTGAGTTTTCAAAAGGATCAAGGCCCATTGGATGCAAATGAGTGTTTAAAAAGAAGTATCATAGTGACGGTACATGAAACACATATAAGACAAGATTAGTAGCAAAAGGATTTAGACAAAAAGAGTGTGTTGATTACTTTGACACATATGCACTAGTAGCAAGAACAACATCAATTAGATTATTGTTCACCTAGGCCTCTTTGGATGACCTTATAGTTCATCAAATGGATGTTAAAACGACATTCTTAAATGGAGACCTCGATGAGGAAATCTACATGGAACAACTAGGAGGTTATGTGCTTTCCGAAAATGAACAAAAGGTGTGAAAGCTTGTCAAATCCCTATATGGACTAAAGCAAGCACCAAAACAATGACATCAAAAATCCGATTATGTCATACTTTCAAATGGATTTACTCACAATTCTTGTGACAAGTTTTTATAAACAAAGGTACGGAAAAATATTGTAATATTCCTTTATTTATACGTTGATGATATGTTGATAATTAGCAACAACATAGATGGAATTTTAGAAACAAAAAGGTTTCTAACTTCTACATTCAAGATGCAAGATCTTGGATTAGTTGACACAATTTTAGGGATCTAAGTAAATAAAAATATTGGGGGTTACGAACATAGTCAAACACATTATATTGAAAAATCACCCAGGTGTATCTTGAAAAATCATCCACTACAACATAAGCATACTTCTTTCCACCAAGACTCTCCACCTGCATAGGTCCCATTAAGTCCATGTGAAGAAGTTCCAACACTTTAGAGGTGGTGAGATGTTGGATCTTCTGGTGTGACATCCTTGTCTGCTTTCCTATTTGGTATTCACCACAAATTTTTCCTTCTTCAATCTTCAGCTTAGGAATTTCTCTGACAGCTTCCATAGATAAGATTTTCTTCATTCCTTTTAGATGCAAATGACAAAGTTTCTGGTGCCATAGTTTCACTTCATCTTCTTTTGCAAGAGCACATTTGGAGTCCTGAGAGGCCCATAGGTAGCAATTGTCCTTGGATCTGACTCCCTTCATGATCAGCTCTCCTTTTTCATTAGTGACCAAACACTCAAGTTTAATGAAGTTGACATTTAGAACCTGATCACACAGTTGAATGATGCTAATCAGGTTGGCAGTTAATCCTTTGGCAGTTAATCCTTTCACCTTTGGCTCTATCTCCAAAAGTCACATAGCTGGTTGAGTGAGGTTTGATGTCAACTAATAGATTTCTGATCCCTGTCATGTGTCTTGAGCACCCACTATGAAAGTACCAATCTTCCTTAGTAGAGACTTTTAGGGACATATGAGCTATGAAGCAGGCAGTAGCAGTTTTAGGAACCCATTGCTTTGTAGCAGGAGCCTTGGAAACCCATTGCTTCCTAGAGGACTGAATGTTGTGATCAGGTCTTGCTTGAGGTATAGAGTTTGGATATCCATGCAGTCTGAAATAGAATGACTTTATATGACCAAAGCGACCACAGTGATGGAATCTCCATCTCTGGAATTTTCTTGGTTGGCTGGGTTGTTTTCTGTCGTGATGTTGAGAGATTTGATGGAACATCTTTTGCTTGGATCCAGAAGGCTTGTGGTGAGAGGCAGGATTACTATTTGTTTATGCTTTCTTTTCTTCATTAAATCCTAACCATGTCTTGTCTCCCATCCTTCTTCCAGATTGAAGAATCTCTTCCAAGATTTTGGTACCACTGTTCATCATTCTAACAGACTTCTCCATTTGATCAAGTTGGGAAGTAAGTGAGCAACTTCATCATTTAACTTAGTGATAGTTTCAAACTGTTCAGCAACTTCATCATTCAACATCTTGATAGTTGTAAGGTGTTCCTCCATTTCGGTATTCAGTTTGATGATGAGTTTCTTCTATTTTTCACCTTGATGGCATACCTCTTCGCTTCAAAGGCACAACTCTTTGTAGGAAACTGCAAGTTCTTCAAATGTTAATTCATCTTCACTAGAGTCTTCATCAGAATAGTATCTTCCAGTCAAAGTAATTACATGTTTGGCAAACTCTTCTTCAATATCACTGTTAGATTCTTCATCAGTCCAAAAAACAACTAGACTTTTCTTTTGTTTCTTGAGATAGGTTGGGCATTCAGATCTGATGTGACCAAAACCTTCACACCCATGGCGCTATATTCCTTTTCTATTTGTGGGTTTTTCTTCAATCCTGGTTTTTCTTCCTGCATCATTGGACCTACTGATGTCATGTGAGATGTTTTTGACATTAGGTCTTGTCTTCATATCCATTCTTTTCATCACTTTGTTGAATTGTCTTCCAAGAAGCACTATGGAATTTGATAAACTTTCATTTGTATCCTCATCTGATTCATCCTCCCTACTTTCAGCATTTGACACAAAGGTTGTGCTCTTCTTCTTATCAGCTTTGTCACTTATTCCTACTTCAAAGGTTAAAAGAAACCCAATGAGTTCATCAACTCTCATCTTGCAGATGTCTTATGCTTCTTCTATAGCAGTTACTTTCATGTCAAATCTCTTGGGAAGGGATCTGATAATTTTTCTTACTATCTTTTCTTCTGACGTCTTTTCACCTAGGGCACTTGAAGCATTGGCTATTTCAAGAATATTCATATGAAAGTCATGTATGCTTTCATCATCTTTCATCCTCAGGTTTTCAAACTTAGTAGTAAGCAGCTGAAGTCTAGATATCTTTACCTTGGATGTGCCTTCATGAGTAGTCCTTAGTACCTCCCAGGCATCTTTAGCTACCTCACAGTTGTTTACCAATTTGAATATGTTCCTATCAATACCATTGAACAACGCATTCAAAGCTTTGGAGTTGGCCAGAGCCAGTTCATCCTCTTCCTTTGTCCATTCTTCCTCAGGCTTTAAGTCAGATGTAGTCTTTCCATCTTTATCAATAATAACAGGATGTTCTCATCCCTTTATAACAGCTTTCCAGGCCTTACTGTCCAGAGATTTTAAGAAAGCAACCATACGAGATTTCCAATAGTCATAATTACTCCCGTCCAGAACAGGTGGTCTATTTACAAATCCTCCTTCTTTGTCCATGTTACCAGAAAGTATCGTCCTTAGATCTCACCCAGAACCAGAGTATGATGCCTGCTCTGTTACCAATTGAAATTTTGGTATCAGATATAAGATGTCGAATGCGATGTTATGACACTAATATCTGTTTAATCATCAATAAGAACAAGGACAAACATATAACAAATGTAAAGAGACACAAGCAATTGTTAACCCAGTTCGGTGAAAACACACCTACGTCTGGGGGCTATCAAGCCAGGAAGAAAATCTACTGAGTAGAATTAGTTTGAAAATATACAGTAGACTCTCTCTAGTTTACCATCTTCTCACCTAATCTCTACCCTTGCAATTTCTACCTAGGACACACCTAGATAAGAGACACCTCTCACTCCCCCTCAATCACAGCAGTGATAACAACAACAGAAAATAAGACTTTAGAAAACACACTTCAAAGACACAACTTGATCTTGCTTAAGAGCTTCAATCAAGTACAATGCACTTTTGTTTACAAGCTTTGAGTGAACAAATTACAATACTGAACTTAGTCCAATTCACACATTAAGATAATGAATGAATGACTCACAAACTAAAACACACGAAGGCTAGAGCACTAAACCTTACACAATTGCACACACTTAATCCTAGCTTCTCTGATCTGAAAGCTAGGGTTTTTGAATCCTTAAATAGTAGTACTTGGACGGGCTTGGGGTGTGGCAAAAGTAACAACATATTGTGAAGAGATCAATCTTCATAATTCGCATCAATGAAACATATTTTATTTGATCAATCAGATCCAATCAAATCACTCTTCATATCTCCAAGATAATCTTCTAAAAATAGCTCCACTTGAAATCAAACATGATCCACAATATGTGAATCAGAAACGCCTTTGCATAACACCAAAAAACCCCCGCAAATTTACACCAGATCAGTGCAACAAGTTTGCACAAAAGAGATAGACAAACAACCACATTCACGCAGAATATTTTGTTCATAAGAGTCAGGACATCATGCAAGAAATCATGACATAAGTCTTGCTACAACATACAAAGCTACCTGCAGAACCTTAAAACCAGATGTCACGACATCCTGTAGGACATCTTGTGATTACACCAAGTTTTACCAAAATGCCTGCCAATCATAAACTAACAAAATTAATAAAGCAAATTGATTCTTATCATTTGGTTAACTATACACACCCTTAATTTCAAGTATTTTACTAAGTAGGTTGACGGAGACTTTGACATGAATATATCACAGATTGAAACAATGGAAATATGTATTATAGTACAAGCTACAAAGTCATCTAATCACACATCTGCAAACTTGTTAACTATGCAAATCAATTTTTTCTAATGGCCTTCAACATTTTGATGCAAATGTAAATTTTGTGTTTGCTAAGAAGTTTTGCCATCTTCTAAACTCTTTAACCATGAGAAATCTTTCAGAGCATCTTCCATGTATGGCCAATGGAATATCTTCTTATAGTGCAAACTTCTCTTAGAAAAACCTCATGTGATTTGCTGTGAAGGTTAGCTGCTGCAATTTTCAACCTTCGATTCGCCGACCAAAATTCCCCGAGCCATCCTCTAAAAGTTTAGACATCATTGCAGAGTTCCTCTTGCATTGCTTCATTTTCTGCAATTTGAAAAGTAACACTTGTTTCTTATGCATATGAACTCACATAAGAAACAATGAAACCATTTTTCATTAACTCTTGAATCCCTTTCTGAAATGAAGTATTCCAAAAGCCAGCACCACAAGGATTATTAACAATCCTACAAAAAGTAACACAATTTGTGCAAGCTTCCAAGTCCCTATGCTGCCTAATATTCCCAGAGACTCAAAACACGGTCTTAACGGTACTCCACATAGCTCTCGATTTCCAACAAAAGCACTGCTATCCATTAACTTGAATGTCTTTCCTTTTGGTATTGAACCCGAGATATCGTTGAAAGACACGTTGAGAAGTTGTAAAGTTGATGAACTACCAAACTTTGCAGGTATGATGCCAATGAACTTATTGATAGATAAATCTACAATTTCGAGAACAGGTAAATTGACAAGCTCTTCAGGTATTTGGCCTGTCAAATTATTGTAAGATAATTTGATTGTTATAAGAGCTTGACACTTGGAAACACTCTTCGAGATTGTTCCGGATAAGTTGTTTCTACCAAGATCGATTACTGAAATTGTTTTGCAGGACTCAAATGAAGGAAGACTTCCTAAAATGCCACAAGAAGATGCTGAGAAATTTTGAAGGTGTGGTAAAGTCCATATTTGTGTAGGGATGATGCCTCTTAATTGCTTATTATAAGAGACATTGAAATACTCCAATTGAGTAGCATGAGAAATATCTGAGGGAATCCCGCCAACAAAATTGTTCGATGACAGATCGACGTATGTGATATCATGAAGATGGCTGAATTTTAAAGGGATCTCACCTGAGAATGAATTATCTTCTAGGCGAAGTCGAACCAGGGAAGAACAATTCGAGATCGAGAAGAGACTTCCGGTGAATTTGTTTGAAAACAGAATTAGCTTGTAGAGTACTCTACCGAGACAAATGTCTTGTGGTATGCTGCCATCGAAATTGTTTGTGGAGACATCCACCCATTTGAGTTTGGAGTTTTTTCCTAAACTCTTTGGGAGGAATCCGGAGAAGTTGTTCTTCCAAATAAGAAGTGTTTCCAAGAATGTGAGTTCTGCAATGCCTTCTGGAACAGTCCCACTCATGTCATTGTACATGAGACTAAGAAGTCTGAGGTTCTTCAGCTCTGAAAAGCTTTCTGGAATAGACCCTGAAAGGAAGTTATCCGAGAGATCTAAATCTTTGAGAGGTTTAATTTCGCTGAGCTCACTCGGTATTAATCCGGTGAGCTGGTTTTTGAAAAGAAAAAGTGATTGCAAACTTGTGAGGTTTGAAAGTTCCTTTGGAATAGAACCAGATAGATTAGCACCTGCTATGTCAAGATATTGAAGCTTGCTCAAATTACCTATTTGCGGTGGAATGAAACCCTGGTAGAAATTGTAGCCAATTTCCATGTGAGTCAGTGTTTGAAGGTTACCAAGCTTTGGAGGTATATTTCCGGATAGCGAATTTCCAGCTAGATGAAGAAACTCAAGGCTTTTGAAAGAACCATATTCAGATGGAATTGTTCCTCTAAAGTAACTTCCAGCTAGGTTAAGAATCCTAAGATATTCCAGTTCTGAAAATTCTGCAGGTAATTGACCTGAAAAGCTGTTGCTAAGTGCATCAAATATAAGCAAGTTTTTTAGCTTTGAAACTCCTTTTGGGAATTGACCTGAAAAATTGTTTTTGCTTATGTCCAAGCTTTTCAAGCTTGTGAGGTTAAAAATTTCTGGTGGAAGATTTCCAGAGAAGAAATTATAGCTTAGGTTGAAAGCAATAACATTTGTGAAAACACTGAATCCTTTACCTGATAGAGTACCTCTTAGTTTCTTCATGGAAAGGTCTATGGAAGTTACAAGTGAGTCTTTGTTACACTTGATACCAGACCAAGAACAAGCATAGGAACTTCCGTTTTCAGTTAAGTTGATTCCTGAGGGCACCACCCAATCATCTAAGTTGTTGTTGTCATCTATAAGCTCAGATTTTAGACTCAAGAGTGCTTGTGAATAAGGATCAATTGGTAATGATGAGGATGAGAGGAAAATAGAGAGGAGAATGAGAAGATTAATGAAGTGAAAGAATTTGAATATTTCCATTGGAACTTTTTGAGAGCAAGGAAATGAGGCAATGGTGTCACTATATTAAGTATATTTTGTTTTGTGGTATTATGAATGCATTGGGAATGAGAAGAGGAAAGGGTTATGTGCATGTGAAACAAGATACTATTAATGACTATTCTCTTTAGTTACTTTTGGGAGCAAGAGGGGACCCTAATGAGTCTATTTATTTGATTGGTGTTTGCCATTAAGATATAAAGCCTTCAAATCTGCAATAATATTTTTTCAATTAGGGGGAATCACTTTATATCATGACTAGTTTAGATGATCAAATTTGTCCATATTCTCCATATCCTTGGACTTTGCATTGCTTAGTAAAGAGTATCCCAACAAAAGGAGTTCAAAGCTACTTTTCTACACAAATAGTTTGTATTGTTTAGTAAGGGAGTATCCCAACAAAAAGGAATCCAATGAGTTTGCATTGCTTAGTAAGGCAGCATCACAACAAAACGATTTTAAGAAGAGATCAATTATTACTAAGTCATCGTGTGGCCTAGGGATGCACAATAACATATCTTTAAAAAAGGTAAAGTAGTAGTTGGACTAGATTTCCCACTAGAGTATAAAAGAGTAATGCATTTGCATATGATTTGGTGCCATTTTAGTATTTGTTTACTCTTTCAAAATCAAAAGAAAAAGCATATACAACGGAATTATTGAGCAGATAATTGCGAGATTGATTTCTGCTTTTTGTTCGTAAGTGGGGTAATCTTGCTTAGGAAGCCGCTGATGAGTATAAAATAATTGCTTTATTTGAATTATGTGACTCAATTTGAATTGCTTCTTGCTAAAAAAAGTTTTTAAACCAATCATTTGATTTGGTTTTTAACATTTTTCAAAAATGGAAAGGAATCAAATTGAATAATTTGGTTCGTTTCAGTTGAACTTAATAATAGATTGAATAAAAAATTAAATAGGTAGTTATAGTCTTTGATTTGACCGTTATTAAAAAATAAATATGAAAGTTAAAGTAAACTATTTCTGGTTTTATGAGTTTCGTTTGGTTTTTGAACCAAACTAGAAAAAAAATTGATTTTTTCTTATTAGTTTGATTTTGATTGTTAGTTTAATTAGTTTTTTTAATACATACACCTCTACATAGAAAGTCTTAAACAATGAATGTGAAAATTTTATAGAAAGCGTTAAACAATGAATGTGAAAAGTTTACTTTGAATGCATACTACAACATAAATTTTTTACTTTGAATGTGGAAGAAGGCCATGTGTTTGGTTTTCAGGTGAAGAAAAATAATTTGAATGAACTGATTATGACTAAAAGTGAATTGAAAGTAAAATGATTTATGTTTGGATAAATTTCTGCACAAGAGAATTGAACACTAAATTTAACTATAAAAATTACTAGAGACTCAAAAGCTACAAATCAAATGTTTTGTTACGTTATGCCTAGTTTCATATAGAAATATTGAGATTAGTAACATGGATCTAGCAAGTGATAGATTTCTCAAACACCCTAAAGAGTACAACTCAAGAAGAAATCGGGTTCTAGGAAACTTGAAACATATGGTCGGAAGAGCCTATCCCAAGAAAATAAGGGTAGGTTGCCTCAATATCAAGGAAAGCTTGGACCTTGGTTAGGAAGTCAGCTCGATCAAGTTGACTCGACACCGGCATGAAGGAGACACTCTAGTAAAATAGCGTTAATACATAAACAACACATTGAATGCAGATTAATAGTCATGATGAGTTATGCTCGAATAAGGGCACAAGAGTATTGTTGGTCGTTAATTCTCCTTAAACATGGATGTTGCTCAAAGTTGTATATATACCAATGGAGTGGGTAGAAGAAGTAAATCCATAGACAAATCTTAAACGACTAAGACTATATTGGTCCTTGCTTGTAAAGTTGCAATAGTGTAGATTCGGTGCTCACCGTGGGACCCAATAAAACTAACATGGGCCATTGTCATACAAACTGCACTACCACCCCCAACTTTAATTAACGATGATGAGGGATGTCGCAAGCAATTCCAACAATGACTAGTTGTCATTGCGAAAATGTTATTCGCTATATATGAGCTTTATCGTCAAAATGGAACATTACAAGACAATGTATGTGACTTATAATAGCGACAACCACTATTAGTTATCAAAGAGAAAGAAGAATCCATAGATCCTCCACCATTCTCCACTAAAATTGGGGATGCTCTAGTTCTAGATAACTTCAGTGTGTCATCTATAATAACATTCAATGCAAGAGAGACTTCTTGAAACACATCATCGATATTAACACTCAAATGATGATTATTAGGGGAAAAACTCGCTAAAATGCAAGCTCATTATCAGAACTTTATAAGAGGCACCCTTAAAATGGTTCCAAGACCTCACAAGAAAAATAATCCATCAATTCTCAACCAATAAGCATCGAAAGGTCTCTACAACAAGCATCCATTTTGGGTCCTTGCAAAAGTATTTGGCCAAGTTTAATGAGGAAACTATAAAAATTGTCAAGCCGAACCAAAGGATGTTTTTTGTGTCTTTTAGAACGACCTCAAGGTTGGGCGTTTCAAAAAATAGTGTTTTTTTGTGTCTTTTAGAACGACCTCAAGGTTGGGCGTTTCAAAAAATAGTGTTTTTTTGTGTCTTTTAGAACGACCTCAAGGTTTGTACAAAAACTATAAAAGTTTATATTTTAATAAGACAAATTTCTATTTTTTTTAAATTTCTCATTATTTTCGTTCCAATCTACAAGTACAAATTTGTTGAAAAATTCAATAGCTTTTGCACCATCATTCTTTTGAATCTAGGTGAAGATAAAATGCTATATTTTCAATGGAAGCATTATATTTTCAATGGCTTTACATGCATGTCTGGGATCTTTGGTTGGTAAATTTGACTCTTTTGGGTAAGTTGAGGTGGAGGCTAATCTCGGGGGCCTCCGGTCTTTAGTGTGACATCCTCACTACTAGATACATAGTTTCCTCCATATCTTCTATCTTGGGAGGGAAAGGTGGGTGCATCTGTTTGGCCTCGTTCTGGTGGAAAGGAGTTTCCCTCCTTGAAGTCAAAGCTGATGATCCCTTTGATTCGTTTATGGATGGCCTTCGTTTAACAGGTGGACCTGGCCTCTTACTTTCTTCTATAAAGATACTTTAGTTGCAACTACTCATGTTAGATCCAAGTTTTCGAGGCTCTTTTCCATCTCTGATTATGTCCAACGATCGGTAGGAGAAATATGTAGGTGGGAGGGGGAGGTGTGGGTTTGGGAGCTTATGTGGAAGAGGGATTTCCTCTTTGTTGATGAGTGTGATCTTATTTTCGGGCTAATGTTAGTTGAGATAGCCTATGTCCCATTAGTAAAACTCTATAAACCTTATTAAAATACAAACAAAAAAAATTGAAACTTTTAAATAACAATATGAAACTAATAAAAACATATTGCTTCACGCGCGCGCACACACACACACACACACATATATTTTACATAGAACTTGACACAACCAAAACCAGTGACACTGCCACATAGATAAAACTTAATAGAAAAGTACATAAAGGAAACCAAAAGAAATCCTAACAAAATTAAGTCCAACAGAATAGACACTTATACTGGATGAACATAATATTACATAATAGTAGCGATGTGATCAACATTTAAAAAAATTATAACAACATCTAATCTTGACGTCGTCGTAAGCCATCTTCATGTCAGTTCGTAACTTTCCCTCCTAAATTTTCGGGATGTAAGAAGGAGACTAGATCACCGTCAAATCATTGTTGTTCCTTTTGGATTGGATGCATCATGCAAAATAGCAAGGAATGTACACGACGTTTTGGTGAAGAAAGGACACATGTGGTACCAAATTTTCAGCATGTGTGCAACATCTAGCCTTTATCAGCAGGCCTTGTTGAATGTTGCTCTGAGCATAATTTTTTATTAGGATTCAACCATATTTTTTTCTATCTTTTAGAAACACATTTAATTAGATTTGTTTGGATGATTAAAAGGATAAAATCAAATCAGAAATAGAGATTTAAATCTGAATTCAAACAAATCAAATCTTTTCAGAGGTTGTTGAAAAAATAAAAACTAAATCTCCTACAAATTTGGATGTGATCAAATCATATGTCCATTGGAGAAAAGCCCAGAAGATTGTGTTATTATTTAAGGAGACTCAAACCTAATGTTTGAAGTGTTTGTAAGTATTAAAGAATCTTTGATGTAGCAACCACTTTATTTATGTGTTACTTCTGTTGATGTTGTTGTTTGCTCTGAGTGTTTGTTTGAGGTGTGCTTATGTTGCTCAATTTGTATTGCCCATATTGTAAGTTGTGAAAGAGATGTTTTGCCAAAATTTTCCAAAGGAGGAGATTGTTGTTCTTTTTGGATTGGATGCATTATACAAAACAACATGGAGTGTACAAGATTTTTAGGGAAGAAAGGACACATGTGGGACCAGATGTTCTAGCATGTGTGCAATATATGGCCTTTGTCAGTAGGGCTTGGTGGATGTTATTTTGAATGTAATTTTTTATTGGAATTCAATCACATTTTTTGTTATCTTTTAGTAATTTGTTTAATTAGATTTGTTTGGCTGATTAAAATGATCAAATCAAATAAAATCTTTTTAGAGGTTGTTGAAAAACAAATAAAAATGAATCTCCTACAAATCTGACGTGATCAAAATCTTATGCCCATTGGAGAAAAGCCTAGAAGTTTGCATTGCTACTTAAAGAGACTCAAACCTAACGTTTGAAGTGTGTGCAAGTGTTAAAGAATCTTTGTGTTAGAATTTATAATTTGAGTATTTGTTTGTATTGTTGTTTGTGCACCACTCTAGCGCCTGCACTCATATCTAAAGGCATAGAGTTTGGTTTGTTAGTTGAGTTATAATTCAACAATCAGTATTCTGCTTATTTTAGTGATCACTAGGGCTAGTGGTTGAGAGGAAGTGAGTGGGGTTCTCATTTTTAGGGGGAGTCTTAAATAGAAATACATTGGTAGAATTAAGAAGATGGGCATTG